TGAGTTGATTGAGCACAACGCCGGGGCAGACGATGCAAATAAGACTAAAGAATCCTTGAATGTCCTCACGGGCCCTCTTCCAAATGAACACACCACTACTGCAGTCCACGCATTTGCAGGAGGCAGGAAGACTCCGACAGGGCTTGAGACCGGCTGTTTCTGGGAGTAAGAAACTCCATGCTTGCCTCCATGAGATGAAAGCATCCCCAGAACAGCAGGGAAGGTTCTGAGCACACGAGAAAGCTGAAGTGAAACACACAGTTGTGTGCTGCAATGGGAGGACCCCCACTGGGAATTCTGTCCTCAAGCAGCAATGCAGCTAGAAGCCACTTATCCTCTCCTTCCTGCACACCTTCCTTCTGCACTTACACCCAGGTGAGATGGGACCATGTGCCTGGGCAAGGCTCAGCTTCTTGGTGTGTTGCTCCCCAAGGTGGGGGGGACGGATGGACTGCTGACCCTCAGTACACCATCAGCACACTGAGCAGTGCAGGGATGCGCTCCATCTGCCACAAAAACAGAGCTCACCGTGCACCTCCAGCTGCCAAGGGCATTAATAAACCAGCAGCTCCACTAAAGCTGGGCCGAGCAGAAGGGAGCAGCATCAGCACAGAGGTCCCCCGCCAGCCGCTCCCCCCACCTACGTGCCGATCCTCTCGCAGGCAGCCCTGACTCACCATCGCCTCATTGCCGCGCGAAATGGAGCGCAAAGACGGGCCAGCAAAAACCATAATTTGTCCTGGCAGGCGTCCTTCACCTCAGCCCTGCCAGAAGCTGCTGATTCACTCAAGTCAGTACAAGAAAGCCTGCCCACATAAAAGCCTCAACAAAGGCGCCTTATTACGGGGATGCCCGCTGCTCAGACCTGAACACGGGTGTTTCAGCCCTCTAACATCTGCTGGTGCATCCTGGAGCACCTGCCGGATAGCACAAAAAGCCTCTGCCGGGAAACTGCCTCTGCAAAGAGCAGCGAAAGGGATCGTGTGGCTGTGGGGAACAGGGTCGGGGGAGCACTGAGTGCAACCTGTCTGCTCCCAGAACGTTGGGCAGGAGCTCAGCCTTCCTCCTTCGGAGACAGCTTCCTCCTCGTGAAAACTCCCCACCCACACAAGTCATTTGTGAGTGTGATTTCCAAGCCCTGAAGGCTTTATGATTGTATAAAAAGGGAGGAGAGTTAAATTGCTTTGAGTCAGAATCCCCAGAGATTCTCCAACAGACTCAAGGAGATAAGAGACACAGCGACAGGGCTGCACTGTGACCTTGCTCAGGGGGGACAGAGGAAACACAGCAGCAAAATAAAATCCCAGCCACCATCTACTGGGCTGCAGGGAGCCCCACATTCTCGTTCTTCCTCCTGCATCCCATTTGCAATGGATGCTCAAAGGGCGAGAGCAGTTTTATAACCCTAACAGGAATGTCTGGCATTTCCCACTTTTTGTTTTTTAAATCAGTTACTCAGGAACACCTGAAGGCACTCTGAGCTGAGCTAGGAAGGAGGTGGGGGAGTAATACCTTGCAAAGCCTGATTCCCCACACAAAGCTGCTTTACTTTCTCGGGGCGTAACTCTCAAATCCCCAGAGGTATCACCCCATTTCAGGCAAGGCATGCTCAAGATGGCCGGTGCCTCCTCGGCCGCTGAACATTCCAGAAAGGCAAAACCGTTGGAAGGCAGCGGGCCGGGCTGGGCAGCGGGGTGACTCAGTGCGAGCTGCAGCACAGAACCTCCGGCTGCGGCATCCCAGCTGCGCCCCGGGGCAGGAAGGAGGCACAGCCCCACCGCCATCCCCACCCACAGCCACGGAGCCGGGCGCACAGCAGGCTGCCAACACGGCGGCCCCCCTCGCTGGTTGGGGAGGATGACTACGACTGCGGGAGGTTGCGCCGCAGCCTTATGCAACTGCAAGATGGCCTCCCAAAGGCAGCCCTCGTGGGGCCGGCCGGGATGGGCCGTCGAGCCAGCAGGCGGGGGATGAGCGTCGGGCACCTTCACTGCGTGTTGTAACGCCGCGTCCGCCCTTCCTAGAGGACAAGGGCACGGAGTAGGCTTCAACTAAAGAAACGAAGCACAGGCGGCAAACTTATCAAGAGAACACAGTCATAGCGTGCGCACCTTCCATCCTCACCGCGCAGCGGGCTGCGCCGGCACAGGACGGGCAGCTTCGCCGCACAGCGGCAGCGGTCAGAGCGCCGCGCTTCGGAGCCTTAGGGCAGGAAGCCCCGCAGGGCGCGCCGCAGCAGCCCATGCCGTACGTGCGGACCCGCACACAGCGCGGCGCCGCCCCCTCCCCCTCCCGGCCGCACAGGGCGGCACGTGGCCGCGGCGCTCGGCCCCGGAGCACGGCGAGGTGCGCGGCCGCTCCTCAACGACTCGCAACCGTCTGTCCGAGCGTTGCCCCGGGTGCGGGGCGGGCGCGGAGCCGCGTGCTGACGGCGGCACTTTCGGCCCTGCGTTGGGGTGCGGTTCTCCGGCTACCATCCTCCCCTCCCCCCCAGACACACACCGGTGCCAGCACGTGCTCTGGAGCCGTCCCCGGGGCAGCAGGGTGCCCGAACCCGGCCCTGCGCACCACCCGCTCCCCAAGGAGCGCAGTGCCGACTCGGAGTGGCACTCGTAGCGGGCTCTGCACGCCGCCTCTCCGCTTCGACGGGCGGCCGCCGTCCGCTAACAAAAGCTCCATTCACGCACCCCGAGCGCTTCAAAGCCCGCGGCAGGGCGGGGGGAGGGGCAGGCGGCCACGCGGGGATGAACGGAATCTCAGAGCTGGGAGAGCAGGGAGCCTCGGGAAGAGCCGAGCGGGGCCCCAGCACGTGGCCGCGGCGCCGACGGCTGACTCAGCCCGGGCGGGCGGAGCGCTGCGGGCACCCATCCAACCAACCCTCCGCCAGCGCCGCCGTGACCCCAACCGCGTGGAGCCCCCCCTCCCCTCAGCGCCCCCTCAGCGCCCCCTCGGCGCCCTGCCCTGAACGTCGGGTCCGGCGATGATGACGGCGGCCTCGGCTGCCCGCTTGCCGCCCTCCTTCAACGCCCTCCCTGTGCGGAGCCGGAGGCCGCCGTTACCTCCTAGTGCCGCTTCCGCCTCCGAGACCGTCCTGCCTGAGCGCCGCCGCCGCTCTGCACGCCTCCCCACCGCGCCGCCAAGGTGATCCCGGCCGAAGCACCGCCCCGCGGATCCCTCCGCCCACTGCGCAACGGGGCGAACGGCCGGGACTCTTTTTTTCTAGCGGACGCGCAAGCTGCGGAGGAAGCGATGTGGCTCTCACGCGCAGCGCAGCCAATCAGAGGGTGGCACAGCCTGAGAGCACGCGGGGGAAGAGTGGCCGCGGCCTTAAAGGGACCGCGCTGCTCTTAAAGGGATCGCGCTGCTCTTATAGTCTTTGCTCCCTTCGTCTCTCCCACCCGCGCCCCTTGCCCACGGTACCTGCAGGGATGCCGGACGGCCGAAGGACGCCGTGAAGCGGCTTCTGCTGGCCCCTGAACCACCCCACGATGTCCTCCATATGTCATTGGGATTGCCCCCAAGTTTGGGGGACAAAACAGGTGTCCTAGGGAGAAAAGGTCAATGCACCCACGTGGCTTCGTCACACATAGACCCCCCAATGCGATGACATCCCATGGAAGATGGAGGTGCAGGGGAAGACGTGCCATCCCCCTGCTGCCAACCCTGTGGTCTGGGGACAGAAATAGACATCTGGGGACAAAAATAGGTGTCTTGAGTTACAGAGCAGGCCTGGGTGCCCAAACTTGTCAGAAGCCATCTTGTCAGTGGCTCTGGGTAGCATGGGGTGAGGTGTCCCCATGTCATCCCAAAAATGGGAGAGAGAGGCGAGGACATGAGAGCACTGTGCTGGAATTATGGGGATGTCGTTCCCACAATGTGGGGACTCTGTGCTGGGACCATGGGGACACTGCTGAGGGCATGGGGGGACCCTACCTGGATGTTCTGCACTGGGATCATCAGGACACTGTGCTGCAGACATTGGGAACAATGTGCCACACCGCGAGGAAGGGCTCTTTATAGAGGTCCTCTTGGGGTCCTTGTGACAGTAATGTGGCACCCAAGGTGGGCACCCAGTGCCACATCCATGTGACGCTGTGCTTGGGACGCTGGAGATACTGAGTCAGGAGCATGGGGACCCAACATGGGACCATGGGGGGCCATGGGGACCCTGTGCTGAGAACACTGAGTGAGGACTGCAGGGACCTAGTGTGAGGCTGTGGGAACCATGGGGACCCGCATGTGGCCATGAGTACCATGGGGGACCATGGAGACTCTATGCTAAGAACATTTGGGATACTGAGCAGAGACCATGAGGCCCCAGTATAGAGCCACGGGGCATCCAATGTGAGGCCATGGGGACACCACATGGGATCATAGAGACCATGAGGGACTGTGAGACACCAGAGGGACCCTATGCTGGCAACACTGAGTGCAGGGACCTGATATGAGGCCACGGGGGACCATGGGGATTCAGCTGGAGGACACTGGGACACTGTGCTGGAGGCAATGAGTGAAGGCCATGCAGGCACAACACAGGGCCATAGGGGCCATGATAGGACTGCAGGGACCCTATGCTGGGGACAATGAGGGGAGACCGCTGGGACCCAATGGGAGGACATGCGGGACTCAACACGGGGTCATGGAGGCCATGAGGGGCTGTGAGGGACCACAGGGACAATGAGAAGTGCAGGGACCCAACGTGAGGCCACGGGGACCGAAAGCGGGCTCCTGGGGACCGCGTGCGGGGGACACCGAGTGAGGACTGCAGGGACCCGGCGCGGAGCCGTCGTGTGAGGACCCGGCACGGGGCCGCGAGCACCGCGGGGAGAGTCCGCGCTAAGGACATTCGGGGACACTGAGCAGAGCCCATGGGGACCCGATGTGGGGCCGCGGGGGTCCGCCGCCCGCCGCCATCCGCCCGCCCCGATCGAGACGCGGCCGGGACGGGTCGGGGGCTCGGGGCCGGGGTCCCTGCGGTGACGTCACCGCCCGGGCGGCGTTGCCGGGCGACGGAGGCGCGGGGGCCTGACGTCAAGGCCCGATGGCCGCCCGCCCGCCCGGCGGCATGGAGGCGGCAGGGACGGGGCCGGGCCGCAGGCAGCGCTGAGATGGTGAGGGCCGGGGAAGGCCGCGGGGACGGGGGGACGCCGGGCCGCCTCGGCAGCGGGGCCCGCGGGCGGCGCCGGGGCCGGGCCTCGCGCGCAGGCCGCGCCGCGGTCGGGGGTACCGAGGGGGGAACGGCCGCGAGCGCGGGGCCGGGGTCCGCCGTGGGCGCCTCGAGAACGCTGGGAGCCCCGAGCTGTGTGAGCCCCGCGGGTGGAGGAGGGAGGGGCTGAGGGAGCTGAGCCCTGCCCATGGGCTGGGGGGTCTGTGCGGGGTAACGGCTGGGTGCCCCCCCGGCCTGCACCGCTAGCCTGCACCGCTCGGTCTGAGCATCTAAACCCGCACCGTGCAAACCTGCACCTCCAGAACCCGCGTCTCTCATTCTGCACCTCAAACCTGCACCTCTAAACGTTCATCCCAAACCTGCATCCCAAACCTGCACCACAAATCTGCACCTCTAAACGTTCATCCCAAATCTGCATCCCAAACCTGCACTTCTAAACGTTCATCCCAAACCTGCATCCCAAACCTGCACCTCTAAACCTTCAGCCCAAACCTGCACCCCAAACCTGCACCTCTAAACCTTCACCCCAAACCTACACCCAAACCTGCACCCTCAAACCTGCATCCCTGAACCTGCAGCCTGCAAATCTTCACCTCCAGAACCTGCATCCCTAATCCTGCACCACAAAGCTACATCTCCCAATCTGCACCCCTACTCTGGCAACCTGGAAAACCTTCAGAACCTGCATTCCCAATCCTGCCCCCTTCACCTGCATCCCAAACCTTCACCCCCTAATATACCTGCAAACCTGAATCCCAAACCTGCACCTCCAGAACTTGCACCCCTAAACCTGCACCTCCCAATATGCACCCCAAACCTTCTCCCCTAAACCTGCACTCCAGACCTGTTCCTCAGACCTCCATGTCTAAACTTCTTCCCCTAAACCCACATCACCCAATCTGCCCCCTCAACCTGTACCCTAAACCTGCACCTCCAGAACCTGCACCCAAACCTTCACCCCAAACCTGCATCACTCAGTTTGCACCCCCAGAATCTGCACCCCAAACCTGCACCCCAAACGTACACCTCCCAATTGCTCCCCAAACCTGCACCTCTCAATCTACACCCCTAAACTTGCACCCCAAGTACCCATATCCCAACATCTTTACCCACAACCGGGACCCCAAATCTGTACCCCATATCTGCTCTGTCAGAACTTGAACTTCTCAATCTGCATCCCCAAAACCTAGTCCCCTCGATCTGCACCTGGATCTGCACCCCTAAACCTGCACCCTGCAAATCTGTAGCCCCATAACCTGTACCCCAAACTGCATCTGAAACCTGCATCCCAAAAACCTGTACCCAAAAATCCAACCCCTAAACCAAACTTCTAAACACGCAACCCCTAATCCACACCCTGCACATCTACCCCTCAGAAAATGCCCCTTAAACATGCACATCTAAACCCACACCCCAAATCTGCACCCCCAAGCCTTCCTCCTTTCTGTACCCTTAAATTGCACCCCACCAATCTCCTACCTCAAACCTGCAGTTCTCAATCTGCCCTCCTTCCTGCACCCCAAAACCTTCACTCCCAATTCTACCCCAGACTTGCCCCCAGAATCCTGCAGGCCCAAATCTGTCCTGCAAATTTGCTCTCCCCACATAGACCTACACTCCTCGCTCTGCACTCCCAACTTGCTACCTCCCACCCTGCACCCCCAAATGCCCACAGGTCTGCCCCCAAACCTGTACTTTCAAATCTATCCCACAAACCCACAACCCCCAAAGCAGTCTCAGTGCATCCCTTCATTTTGTGCCCTGCAAACCAGCACCTCAAACCCAACCCCCCAAAACCTGATCCCCATCCTTCTCCCCTTACAGTCTCCCTTTCCAACTTCTCAATCTGCCCCCAGTCCACCCCAGCAAATTCCCCCACAACAGTCTTTCCCAAATTCTCCCCGCTGACCCTCAGCCCCCCATCCCTCTTCCCACAGGACCTCAAGGGCCAGTACTGGACGGACGATGACTCCGATGGGGACAATGAGTCCGAGGAGTTCCTCTATGGGGTACAGGTAAAGCCACCGGGGGAATAGGTGCCACGGGGGGGATCCTGGCCCCCCTCTGTGGGGTTGTGGGGACTCTGGCTGTGACGGCGCTGTTGCAGGGAACCTGTGCCGCCGACCTGTACCGACACCCACAGCTGGACGCCGACATCGAGGCTGTGAAGGAGATCTACAGCGAGAATGCTGTGTCCGTCAGGTGGGTGTGCCTGTGCTGTGACTTGCCGGGACACCTGGCTGTGACAGTGCCTTGTCACCCCGTGGTGGCACCCCCAGGACCCAGACTCACACCCGCCGCCGTGCCACGTGTCGTTGCAGGGAGTATGGGACCATCGACGACGTGGACATCGACCTCCATGTGAACATCAGCTTCCTCGATGTGAGTCCCCGTGGCGCAGGGGGGATCCGGTGGGGGGGCTCTCAGGTCCCCACATCCTACTTGATGTCTCCGTGGCTGTCTCTCGGCAGGAGGAGGTGGCAACAGCCTGGAAGGTGCTTCGGACTGAGCCCATCGTCCTGCGCCTGCGCTTCTCCCTCTCCCAGTACCTCGATGGCCCCGGTGAGTGGGGACGGGCAGTCAGGGGATGCCTGCGTGGCTGTGAGTGCTGTGCTGACCAGCAGCTCTGTGCCCACAGAACCGTCCATCGAGGTCTTCCAGCCATCCAACAAGGAGGGCTTCGGGCTGGGGCTGCAGCTGAAGAAGTAAGAACTAAAATGCGGGGTGGCGGGGAGGGGCAGGTCACTTTTCATAGAATCATAGAATCATTTGATTTGGAAGAGGCCCTTAAAGGCCATCAGTCCAACCCCCCTGCAATGAACAGGGACACCTGCATCTCCATTAGGGGCTCAGAGCCCCCACCAGCCTGACCCTAGCTGTTTCCAGGGACAGGGCATCCACTGCCTCTCAGGGCAAACTTCATCTCCAGATCACCCAGGTCCCACATGTTCCTGTCACGCCATGTCCTCTTGCTGGCCCTACAGCTCCAGGACAGGCTGGTCACTGGGTTTCCAAGGGGTGGAGCAGGAGATGTGCTCAGCTGAAGCACCCACCTGGGCACCCATGTCACCTCTCTGCCAGGATCCTGGGCATGTTCACATCGCAGCAATGGAAGCATCTCAGCAACGACTTCCTGAAGACCCAGCAGGAGAAGCGGCACAGCTGGTTCAAAACGAGCGGCACCATCAAGAAGTTCCGAGCCGGCCTCAGCATCTTCTCCCCCATCCCCAAGTAAGGTTCCAGTGACGTCCCCACCTTCCCCAGTGCCTTGTTTCCCCCATTTGCTGAGGAGAACAGGAGCTTCCAAAAACCCCAAAAGCAGGAAGGTGAAAATTCAGTGCTGGATGTATAGGAACAGAGGAGCTGGGTGGGAAATGGCCCTCTGGGGAGGGTGATGGTAACAAGTGTCTCTTCGATCCCATGCCTGCAGGTCTCCCAGCTTCCCTGTCATCCCAGACTCAGTGTTGAAGGGCAAGCTGGGTGCTCCCGAAGTGCGCGTCAACCGCCTGATGAACCGCTCCGTCTCCTGCACGGTGAAGAACCCCAAGGGAGAGGTGTTCGGCTACACCCCCAGCACCCAGGCAGGTGTTGCTCCCTTCAACATCCTGGTGGGTGTCAACCCCAGCTCGGGGCTCTCTTTGCTCTCCCTCCCCTTCCCACGTGGCGTCAGGGGTGCATGTCCCCACTGTCCCTGCGGGATGGCCTTAGGGCCCCCAGGGCTTTCGGGAGATCCTGATGCTGTGTGAGGGGTGTGGGAAAGGGGTAATGCATCTGGCGCCGCTCCGGCTCCATCGCAGGTCGGTGGCCACTGTAAGAACGTCCCCACGCTGGAGTATGGCTTCCTCGTCCAGGTGAGCACCCCACGGCACTGTCCCCGCAGTCCCGTTATCAATCTCGGGGCCACCGTGGGGCTGACCCTGCGCCTTATCCACAGATCATGAAGTATGCAGAGCAGCGCATCCCAACGCTCAACGAGTACTGCGTGGTGTGTGACGAGCAGCACGTCTTCCAGAACGGCTCCATGCTCAAGGTGCTGCAGTGCTGGGGGACAGGGGTGTGTGTCACCCTGTGTCACTGTCACTGAGTGCCTGTCCCCTCTGCAGCCGGCTGTGTGCACCCGGGAGCTGTGTGTCTTCTCCTTCTACACCCTGGGTGTGATGTCCGGTGCAGCAGAAGAGGTGGCCACAGGCGCTGAGGTACACGGGGAGTGACATAAGTAGGTGACACGAGGGTGGAATCTCTGGGGTGACCCCATGTCCATCTTGGTGGCCAGGTGGTGGACCTGCTGGTGGCCATGTGCCGCGCTGCGCTGGAGTCCCCCCGCAAAAGCATCATCTTCGAGCCTTATCCCTCCGTGGTGGACCCCAACGACCCCAAAACACTTGCCTTCAACCCCAAGGTAAGCAGCAGGGTGGTGTGCCCCAGCACTGGGCACTGACACCCTTCTGACGGCCACCCCGCTGCTGCCCCACACGCAGAAGAAGAACTACGAGCGGCTGCAGAAGGCGCTGGACAGCGTGATGTCCATCCGGGAGATGACCCAGGTATGTGGCAAAGCCCTAGCTCTGCATCCTGGCACCATTTTGGATGTCTGCATGGGATTTTGATGCCTGTCTCTGTAGTGGGTTGGTGACAGGGTTTTTCATGGTGCTTGTGCCTCTGCCAGGGCTCCTATCTGGAGATCAAGAAGCAGATGGACAAACTGGACCCACTGGCACATCCCCTTCTGCAGTGGTAAGCTGAGGGGTGCTAAAGAGATGGGATGGGGTGGGGTGGGATGGGATGGGATGGAATGGGATGGATGGGGTGGAATGGGATGGGATGGAATGGGATGGATGGGGTGGGATGGGATGGGGTGGGGTGGGATGGGATGGATGGGGTGGGATGGGATGGATGGAGTGGGATGGGATGGGATGGGATGGGATGGGATGGGATGGGATGGGATGGGATGGATGGGGTGGGATGGGATGGGATGGGATGGGATAGATGGGATGGATGGGGTGGGATGGGATGGGATGGGATGGGGTTGGATGGGGTGGGATGGGATGGGATGGGGTTGGATGGGATGGGATGGGATGGGGTGGATGGGGTGGAATGGGATGGGATGGAATGGGATGGATGGGGTGGGATGGGATGGGGTGGGGTGGGATGGGATGGATAGAGTGGGATGGGATGGGATGGGATGGGATGGGATGGGATGGGATGGGATGGGATGGGATGGGATGGGATGGGATGGGATGGGATGGGATGGGATGGGGTGGGGTGGGATGGGGTGGGGTGGGATGGGATGGGATGGGGTGGGATGGGGTGTGATGCAATGGGATGGGGTTGGATGGGATGGAGTGAAATGTGGTGAAGTGGGATGGGATACAACAGAATCAAAGAATCATTAAGGTTGGAAGAGTTTGCTAAGATCATCTAGTCCAATCATCAACCCATCCCCACCATGTCCGCTGACCATGTCCCTCAGTGCCATATGTCCAGAGTTCTTGAACACCTCCAGGGTTGGTGACTTCACCACCTTCCTGGGCTGCCTGTTTCAGTGCCTGACCACTTTCTGAGAAGAAGTTTTTCCTAATATCCAAACTGAACCTCTTCTGGCACAACTTGAGGCCATCTCCTCTCATTCTATTGCTGTTACCTGGGAGCAGAGACCAACCCCCACTTTGCCACAGCCTCCTGTGAGGGAATTGTAGGGAACAATAAGGTCTGCCCTGAGCCTCTCCTCTTCTTCAGGCTGATCCCTCCCAGCTCCCTCAGCTGCTCCCCATAACACTTGCACTCCAGACCCCTCACAGCTCCGTTGCCCTTCTCTTAACATGCAGGGCCTTAATGTCTTTCTAACAGTGAGGTGTCCAAAAATGAACGCAGTAGTGTGAGGATGGATTGCGCTGTGATGCAATGGGATGAGATGCAGTGGGATGGGATGTGATATGATGGGATGGTATGGAGTCAAAAGTGTTTAGGGACTAGTGGGACTCAGGTGGGACCGCTCTATCTCATCTTCCTTCTATCATGCTCCCACAGGATCATCTCCAGCAACAGATCCCACATTGTCAAGCTGCCCCTCAGCAGGGTAAGTGGCATGGCCAGAGCTGTGTGGGTGTGAGCTGTGCAATGTAAGGTGTGGGGTGTAAGGTACGGGGGGTGAGATGTGCAGTATGAGTGTAGCTACAGGTTGTGCAGCCACCGTGTGAGATGGAGGATGCAGGGTGTGGGATGGAGGATGTGGATGGAATATGGGAAGCTGGAGGAGGGATGTAGATGTATGGGTATGGAATGGAGGTCTGAGGGCATGGGATGCGGGTTGTGGGATAAGGGATGAAGGACGTGGGGTGTGCACTGTGGGATGCAGTATTGGGACACAAAACAGGATGCTGCAGGAAGCAGTGGGTGAGCTCCTAGAAATCCTGGCCCTCCTGCCATGGCCAAGCATCTGAAAAGCGCTGAGGTGGGCGCAGGGCTGGGGGCTGCCGTGCATGATCTGCGTCCGTCTGTCTCTCCTCTCTCCTCGTCGGCGCTGCCTTTGCTCTGCCCTTTCCACTGGTAGCAGCTGAAGTTCATGCACACCTCGCACCAGTTCCTCCTGCTGAGCAGCCCCCCAGCCAAGGAGGCCCGGTTCCGCACCGCCAAGAAGCTCTACGGCAGCACTTTTGCTTTCCAGTGAGCAGCCGCGGGGCGGTGGGGGTCTGCGGGATCCCTATGGGGCGCTGCAGGGCCGGGCGCCGTGGGGCTGACACCGGCTCTTGCAGTGGCTCTCACATTGAGAACTGGCACTCCATCCTGCGCAACGGGCTGGTCAACGCGTCCTACACCAAGCTGCAGGTACCGCTCGCCGATGCCGGTTCCGGATCCGGGCAGGTGGGGAGGGATGCGGGCAGCCCCAGGGGTGCTGTGGCCGTGCCTCGTGCCCACGCTGCCGCGGGTGCCGCGTTGCTCACCCCGGTGTTTTCCTGCAAGCTGCATGGAGCAGCCTATGGCAAGGGCATCTATCTGAGCCCCATCTCCAGTATTTCCTTTGGATACTCAGGTAAGAGGCTGCCCGCTCCGCTGGTCCCACCTGTGCTCCCATCCCGCTCCCTGCATGGCACGGAGGAGCCGCGTGGCATCGGGATACTGAGGTGTCCCAGCCACATCCTGCATCCTTCTCCCTCATCGTCCTCTCCCCATCAAATCGGGGCATTCTGACGCACCCGTTCGGTTATTAAGGGAAAAAGAACAGAGAATGGGCATTTCCTAGGCTGAAAACATGACTTTAAGGTGACACGACAGCTGCTTCTTCCTTGTGCCGACTCCAAAAGGCACTGCCCCCACTGTGGGGGTTTGGGTTTGCCTGCAGGATGGAGCTCCTGGTGTGGCCATCCCAGGGGTGTCTGTGACACGTGTCCTCACCACCGTCACCCTGCGTCACCCTGGGGTGCTGCTGCCCGGTGGCGGCCGTGTCCCCAGCCCACGGTGCCAGGAATGACCGCTGTGTCATTGTCTGCAGGGATGGGGAAAGGGCAGCACCGGATGCCTTCAAAGGACGAGCTGGTGCAGAGGTACAACCGGATGAACACCATCCCCCAGGTGACGTGGCGGGGACACGGGGCTGGGGCTGGGAGCGGGCAGGGGTGACACCAGTTGCTCTCCCTACAGACCCGCTCCATCCAGTCCCGCTTCCTCCAGAGCCGTAACCTGAACTGCATCGCGCTTTGCGAAGGTGCGGGGCCGTGGGGGTGATGGGGTTGGGTGTGCTGGTGTGACAGCCCCCACATGGCGCCCCTTCCCTCCGCAGTCATCACCTCCAAGGACCTGCAGAAGCACGGCAACATCTGGGTCTGCCCCGTCTCGGACCACGTCTGCACCCGCTTCTTCTTTGTGTGAGTGCCAACCCCATCTCTGCGCTCACGGTCGCCCCGTGGGCACGGCTAACGCTTTTCCCTCCAGGTACGAAGACGGCCAAGTGGGAGACGCCAATATCAATACTCAGGACCCCAAAATCCAGAAGGAGATCATGCGTGTGATCGGCACTCAGGTGTACACAAACTGAACAGCGGGGACCCTGCTGCGGGGTGCTGAGCGACGGCCCCGGTCAGGGATGGGCGCGTGGGGTTGGCAGTGGGCGCTGGCGTGTGGGGATGCCGGAGGGTCGCAGTGGGGCCATGGCTCCCCCCTGCACATAGGTGAGCAGTGGGGAGCGGGCTGCCAGTTCCCTTGTCCCCTACACCCCATCCCTGACCCCGTGCTGGTGGCCGTCCCTCCTCGCGTTTGTGGCGATGGCGTTTTTATCGATGAGAAACCGAAGCAAAAAAATCCCAAAGGAATAGATACAAACAAACAAAAAAAAAAAAAAAAAAGAGGAAAGTGAGCTGTTGTGATGGAGTGAAGTTCTTTGAGCGCATCGCTGGGCTGAGGGCGCAGGGAAGGGGACACGGGGAGAGGATGTGAAGGCAGAGGGATGGGGACATAAGGATGGGATGGAGCTGCGAGGAGCGGTGGGCACACAGGAAGGGATGGGCTGTTGAGGGATGCGATGCGGCCGCTCCAAAGGTATCAGTGTGGTTGTGCCACGTGCTGCGGAGCAAGGGTTGCATCACAGAGAGCATCTGCTATCTACTGTGCTCTGGGGACACCGGAGGGACGCCGTGGGGACAGGAGCAGAGACACACCAACAAGAGCTGCACTGGACTGTGCTTTATTTCAGCCGACACAGACACCAACAATGACAGAGGTACAGACGTCAGCCCGCACAGCCAATTCCCACTGTGTGCAAACCCCGAAGAAAGCCCCTAGACGGGGGGCTCGGCAGGGTGGAACAGAGGCAGCTTCACACTGAGATTAACCCAAACTAAATCAGCCCGACAGCCCGTGCCTTGCCTGCTCCCGCTGCTCGGCCTCGGGGACAAATTCCTTTGGGAAATGGCGATTCCTGGGAAAAACACAAAGCAAAATCCCCAAAGGAGCAGCTGTGTGCGCAGGTCGGGTCCGGGTGGGTCCGCAGCATCTCCTCCTCCAAACACACGGCTGGTGTCGGCCCGGCTCGCGGCAGCCATTGCTCCAAAGAACAAACCAAGGTGACGATTTTGACAAAATAATTTTATTTCACTTCGCTTTGTTTCTGCCGAAACCTCACATTTTTTTATTTAATCGTTTTTGGCTGAAAAACAAAACAAAACAAAACAAAAAAAGAATTCACAAAAGAGCCAAAGAAGCAAATCGCTTCGCCGTCTCCCGCAGGCGACCAAGGGCTCTTTTGGCCACGTTCACCCCCCAAAATCCCCTCTGCGTCCCCCCCGGCGCTTGGCCACAAACTGCCCCCCACACCGAGCCCTTGAGCCGTGCTCCTCCCGGCGCCGCTCGCAGCTCATGCGCCCGAGGCGTTTCATACATTTTTTTTTCTTCCTGTTTTTTAAGTTTGTGTGTGTGTGTGTGTGTGTGTGTGTTTTAAATTAATTTATTTATATATATATTTAAAAAAGCAATAGTCCTTTGGTCCCTAAACTCTAAGGAATGATATGACTCTGAAACAAGTAATCCTATGTCCCTGTGCCAGTGACAAGCAGGGGGAAGCGCGTGTCCCGCTGCCCTGCTCCATGGGATATATATATATATATACTTATTTATATATATCTTCTATAAGTCCAACATCCTCTTATCCTTTTTCTTCCCTCTTTTTCCCAGCCAGACGTGGAAAAAAACCACCAAGATTTCCCTTTCCAAACAAGCATCCTCCAGGTGAATCGCCCGAGGCCGGTCTCGTCCCGCTGGCTTTGGTTTATAATCCATCCGGAGCCTCTTTTCCTCATTCCTCTTGGGAAATTTGTAGCAGCAAATGAGTGCTTATAAAAGGTAGCTCACATCCCGGCTGCCCGGGCCTCAGTCCTCTCCCGGCAGCAAATCTCAGCCCCAACGCCGCGTCGCTCTCCTCCTTCCTGCCTTCCTCGCTCTCTCGTTCCCGTTAAGAAACAAACAAGACCGGTTGGAAAAAATAATCAAAAAAGAAATAGAAAAGCTACGACCAGAATGGCTCTCTTCTTCGCTTTTTTTTTTTTTTTTTTTTTTTTTTTTTCTTCTCTCCATCAACTCTTCCTCTTCTCCTTCCTCCTCCTCCGGGATATGTTGCAAAGAAAGAGAGTTACGGGTTTGGATACTGCACTTGGGGAAGGGGGAAGTCGGCAGACACCGCGGGACGCCCGACCTGCAAGACAGCAAACGTGCCGTGAGCGATCCAGGCAACTGCTGACCCACGAGATCCCACATCAGCGTGGTTTTAACCAAAACAGCCGCTCTTTATCCCAAGATAAACAGGCCTGTGACGCTGCCAGGTGCCTTCGTACCTCTCTGCGGGGCCAGGGTGCCAGGGGTCAGTAGGGTCTGTTGGCATCTTTCGGCCGCTTTAGCTGGACTTTTAGCCTCTTCATGCCGATCTGGAAGCCGTTCATGGCCTGAATGGCTGCCTGAGCGCTGGTCGGATTGTCAAAACTGACAAAACCTGGGGGTGAGGAACAGGGTGACACAGGGTTTGTCGCTGTCGATGCCACACTGAGCTGCTTGACTTCAACAGGGTCATGGCATTACTTCACCACGGGCCCCACGTTCCCCACGGGTGCTCACTCAGCCCAGGAACGGCCTCTGGAACGTGGGGCTGCATGGCACTGGGTGACGGCACCTTCAGGAACGTGAGGTTTGTGGGGACACTGAGGTGATGGGATCCGTGGGGACTCTGGGGGAGAGGATCTAGAGGGACACTGGGGTGATGGGATTGGTGGGGACCCTGCAGTGATAAGGCCCACATGCGGTCCCCAGGGAAACTGAGGTGACTGAACTCCCAGAGACACAAGGTGTGACATCTGTGGGGATGTCAAGGTGAGCAGGTCTGTGGGGACGGTGAGGTGACAGTGGGGACACCAAAGGACATGGGTTTGCAGGGACACTGGAGGATGAGATCTGTGGCCACCGAGGCGATGCGTCAACAGCACAAGGAATGTGGCAGCAGGAGGGTACATCCTTCTGTCCCCACACGGTGTGGTCCTTCAGCCCCACGGTGACAGCCACCACGCCGCTCTGGGCTTTGCTCACACAACGACTTACCAAAGCACTTGCTCTGGTTGGTGGCACGATCCACAAAAACTTTGGCAGAGATGACATTGCCAAAAGGCAAGAACATCTGTGTGAGCTCCGCATCCCCGAACTCCTGGGGCAGGTGATAAATAAACAGGTTACAGCCCTCGGGACCTGGGTGACACACAAAGGACAGGGCCACACGTCAGCTGCCAGGCGGGGGGCCACCGGCAGCGCGCAGAGTGCGGGATGCCCCCCTTACCTTCTCGCTGCTGCTGCGGGATGATGGGCGCTTGCTGGGGGAAGGCTTGGCTGATGGGTGCGTAGGCAGTGGGATATGCTGCTGGAACAGAGAATGTGGCACTGAAACCCCGACGCAGGATGGGGACTGGCCCCCACAGGGACATTTCCTGCTGCTACGCATCCCCAGAATGCTGGGTTTGGTGGCACAGAGGTTCAAGCACCCATGGGCACCGCTCTGGTAGCTGCTTTCCAAAGCCTCGTCTCTCCCAACCACCTTCTATCAGGAAGCAGAGGGTTGGCACAGTGGGATGGTGCAATTGGGGTTTAAAACTCTTTTTGAGGTGTTTGCTCCCATGGTGATGGACATGGGAATGGCTCTCCCAAGGGAGATGCTGTGAGCACCAGGAATGTGCCATTACTGAGGAAGAAAGCTGCGCAATTCACTTGATTTTTATCAATGACCAGGGGTCAAGAACTTGGTTTTCCGGTGAAAATTTGGAAACAATCACCAGTGCTCCTAATTAACTTTCCTCCAGTCTGTCTCCAAAATCCGCCAGAGCACCAGCGTGAGGGCAATAGGAACGCAGTGGATGGGATTAGGGGACTATGCTCTGAATCTGAATCGCCCCCATCACTGCCCCGCAGCTCCCACACCTCACACTTGCATCAAACACAGTAACGTGAGCCCAGTTCACTCCCAACCCGCAAAGAGCAGAGAGGGGAGAGATGAAGAAGTGCAAAGCCCAGAGTGAGACCTGCATAGTGCTGCATGCCCGCGTAGGCTTGCTGGAGGGGATCTGCCACTGTGGGGCTTTGAGCTAGGAAGAAAAAAGGGAGAAGGAAGAGAGTAAGCAAAGGGAAAGCAAGGACGGCTCCCGGCACTTGCTGGGAACGTGCCTGAGCCCCGCGGGGCGCTACCTGGGTAGGGGTGGATGCCGTTGGTGTAGATGGTCTCGGAGGCGGGCTGCCCGTTGGTCTGCGGCGGCAGCGGGCTGAAGCCATTCACGCCAATAGGTGTGGCGATGCTGGGCACGGGCGCCGTGCTGATGCCAGGCGGGGTGCTGGTACCTGCGAGAGGACGGAGGGCGGCTCAGCGCCGCTGCGGCCCCACGGCCACCAAGGGGGCGGCCGGAGGGAGGGTGGTCCTACCTGAAGAAGGGGTGAGGGGGGCGGCCACCAGCCCGCTGACGTTGAAGGCGGCCATCTGCTGCATCTGGGCGGCGGCGATGGCGGCCATGGGGTTCAGGCAGGTCCCCTGCGCCGCTGCCATCAGGGCCGCCTGCTGCTGCATGATCTAACAGAGGACAGCCGAGGAGAGAGGGAAAAGCGAGTGAGGCACAGAGGAAAAAAGGAGCGAGGAGGGTAGATCAGCACGTTCTGGCGAATTCCCCCCAAAAATCAGGTTCTGTCCCACGAGGCCCCGTACCGCCTGTGTGTAGGCCCCGTAGGCGCCGAACTGGATGGTCATGGGGTTGAAGATGCCCAGCTGCCCCGCCATCTGGTGCATCCGCCGCAGGGTCCTCTCCTTGTCTGTGTCCGCAAATTTCACCACCAGGCTGGATGAGGCGCCCTGCGGCACAGCAAGGCAGGGCTGAGCGGGGCCACGACCACATCCCCACCACGTCACCCACAGCAACCCCAGCACAGGGACACCCCGCAGCCACAGCACCCTGGGGATGCCGCCTGGGCTGGCCGCAGCACGCAGCAATCAATGCGGGGTTTAATTACAGCCCTATTCCCTCCCGGCAGCTGCTCCCTGACCGCTGTTTCCTTTCCCCCTCATCTGCGGTGTTGACCTTCGTTGTTAATTAAACCACACCTTTCTCCCACAGCCCCGCATGCCCACCCCTGGCATGCGGCAGGGATGAACCCTAGGCGATCCCGGCAACACACCGGGATTGTGATCCAATTAGACTGATCAAATTAGCCGGTGATTGGATTAGGGGACAGCGCGGCCAGCGCTTACCGGCATGGTCTGGCTGCCGTGCAGGCTGCTGATGGCGGCTTGTGCCTCGGCATGGCTGCTGTACTTCACAAAGGCACAACCTGCAGGCAGAGGGACAGGGACAGTGACAAGAGGTGTTCGGGCAACGCCTCGCTGCCAGGCTCTGCTCCGTGCTCCCACCTTTGCTGGCCCCATCGGGCCCACGCAGGATGGTGCATTCCTCAATCTGTCCGAAGGGCTCGAAGAGGCGCCGGACATCATCCTCGCTCTGCTGCTTCCCCAGCATGCCCACAAAGAGCTTCCTGTCTTCTGGAGGCAAAGCAGAGCTGTCGGCGGGGGGAGCTGCGCAGCACCCATCCCCTTCCCGTCCCCAGCGTGCAGATGGCTCACGGAGGGAACAGCAGCACCGCAAAACCCAGTGGTGAGGATGCACAGCACCCTACAATGTGTGTGTGTGGGGAAACCTCTACTGCTGGGGGTGAGGCAGAGCTGGGGCTGTTCCTGGAGACCACGATGCTGTCCTGTACCACGGGTATGCGGCCAGGAAACAAAAGGAGCCCCAAAACGCCAGCAGTGGTGTCTGTGTGACAGACCATCGGAACAGCCCGCGGTCCGTGGCCATGCCCGAGGGACATCGATAAGCAGAAAACGAGGGAAGGGAGAGTAAATAATGAGGAGTTCGTGATTACTGCCAGCATCTGCCTCGCGCGGTCACGCGCTCCCACCGTGCGCTAATGGCATCTGACAAAGAAAATAAGGTGCCCTGTCGGAGCGTTGCCGGGGAAATGCAGAAATAACGGCGGGAGGCGACAGCAGCACGGCCGTCAGCACACAGGGAATCAGTGCCGGGATTGGGGCTACACACTGCTGGTTACACATCAGCCAGCATCTGCCGAGGGGCCCTGCAGCTCCTGGGCAAGGGGCCGGAGCTCCTATCGACCTGCAACCCGTCCTCAGCTAGACACCGCGTGGGTAATTTGCTGCAGGTCCTTCCAAGGCTCACCCAGACCGTGCTCAGGACCAGGTGCTGAGCGCACGCACGGCCGCACTGCACACAGGGATGGGCACAGCCGGCCATAAGCCAGCACCCGTGGTCACAGTGCAATCGCAGCGCTGCTGCGGTCCCCCAGGGCCATTTCCAGCCTCCAGGTTCCATCGGTGTGATGAGAGGATGCCAGGTCTCAGCCCTCTCCCCGAGCTACAGGCTGTGGCTCAGCACACCCCTTGGTGCCGCCACCCCATCGCCCCCAGGTGCCTTGGGGTGGCTGTTCCTACCTCCTCGTCCCTCGCTGTCCGCCGGCTTCACCTGGATGGGGCGGTTCATCTGCAACACACAACCGGCAGCGGGCGGTCAGCACAGCGTCACATCCTGACGGACGCTGTACACGGAGCAGGGTGGGTTCTGGGGATGGTTTGCCCCTGGCCCCGCAGGGCTGGGTGTGCTTTGGGATGGTCAGATGTCCAGAGCCACCTGTCACAGACACGTGGTGGCTCCCGTCACCCTGCAGCGGGGCCGTACGGGTGTGGGTGTGACACACGCCTGGCACGACGTTGTGCCCACACCCGTGGGTGTGACACGTGTGCCCTGGGACAGGGGGTCAGCACTTCCCCATGGCTGTGCCTCCCCACGCAGCCCGGGGCCACCCTTTCCCACTTCTCCCCCTCCTTTTTCCCCTTTTTCTTCTGAAAAAGTGCGACAATTACGGCCGTTTCCATGGCAACAAGCGTGCTTCCCCCGCGCTGATGTGCTTGATAGGGTCGTCACGGCAACAGCCGTCACGCGTGATGGGGCACACGCCTGCAGGGCTGGCACGCGTGCAAGGAGCGTGCAAGCGGTGTGCGGGCGCTGCACCCCAAAATGCCACCGTGGGGCACCCCCAGAGCCGGGTGGGGGCAGCGCCAGCCCCGGGTGGCGATGAGGAGGAGGAGGAAGGCTCAGGAAGAAGAGGAGGGCGGTTTCCACGGCAACCGCCTCGTCTCCAGGGAAACACGGGGAGGAGATGTCAGTGCGAGGCAAGGATGCTCTGGGGAGGGACCGGGCTGGGGGGGACCTCAGCCCTGTGGTGGCATCGAGGGACACAGGGATATTTGGATCCCCACGGCAGCTGGCAGGGGCGAATTCCATTTTTGGGGGGGATAAAGGCGCTGTCCCTCAGCCGACCCAGCAGCCACATTCACCACCACAACGGCCATTGCTGGAAGGCCATGGGCATCAGCCCACCTCCCCCGCGCAGCAACCGCCCCGCTCAGGCAGCTCCAAAATGAGGTCTGGGCAGCGCTGCTTGCACACACACCCCCGTGCACAGCCCTCCCAGCACAGCACCCCCTGTGCACGCTCACACCCACACGCTGCCGTGTGTCCACGTGCCACGCACACGTGTGCACACGTTTGCACACCCCTGGGGCACAGCTGCACCCACACCGTTGGTGTGAACCGGGTGTGAACGTGCGCGGCACACGCTTTCACACTCACATGTACAGTTACACGGCTGCACACCCGGCACCACCAACAGATGCTTGCATGCTCAGCCATCCCAGAGGCAGAACCGTACCCGGAGCGGCACACACCGTGCGTGCAGCACCTCTGCGTGCGCACCCCTCGCACTCCTCTTGCACACCCCTTGCACACACACACACACACACACGCAGGCTGGGCTGCGGCCCCCCCCGCAGAACGGGACCCCCCCCCCGGCTCCACCCGCCGCCCACCCCCGCCCCCCGCGGTGCAGCCGCGCTCCGCACCCACCCGCACAGCCCCGCACCCGCAGGGATGCACCCGGCCGGGCGGGGCCGTGCCGGCAGACAAAGGCGGGGGCCCTACCTCGATGCAGAGCAGCTTGGAGCCCGCGGGCACCCACAGCACGGGCGGCCGCGGCCCCGGGGCTGGCACCTGCGGCAGCTGCATGGCTCGGCCCGGCTCGGCTCGCTTCGGGCCGGCCCGGCCCGGCTCCACCCAAAGCGGCCCGGCTCGGCTCGGCTCGGCTCGGCCCGGCTCGGCTCGGCTCGCGCAGCGGCGCGCGCGGGAGGCGGGGCGAGAGAGGGGCAGCCGCAGCCCCACCGAGCCGAGCCGAGCCGGGCCGGGCCGGGCCGAGGGGCGGGGCTACTTTAGGCCACGCCCCCCCGCCAGGCCACGCCCCGCACCGCGCCAGGGGCGGGATCCGGCCCGGGGGGTGGCGAGCTGGGGGGTGTGCAAACAGCAGCACGGGTGTGCAAGCACAAGATGGGGGTGCAAGCACCAGCACGGCCGTGCGAGCACAAACCTGCAGACGCGTACCCACTCGGTGTCACACCCATGAACAACAGTGCGAGCACAGCGTCACGGCACCAGCACCACACAGCGGTTGTGCACCGTGTGCACGCGTGTGCGAGGACACGCGGTGCACGCACTGCAAAGAGGCGGATGATGGGCACGCGTGGCACTGTGCGAACGGCCTCAGCCCCCCCGCAGGGCCGCCCTGGGGCTGTTCACTCTGGAGCCTACTGATGGTGGCCAGGCCACGGGGGGGCATGTCCCTCCCAGCCGTAACAAAAGGCCTCTCCGCACGCCCAAGGTTGGTATTTATATTTACGGAGCCCGCGCTTTCCCCAGCCAAGCGGCGGCCCTATTGATTTTGATTTAGAAGAATAATTAAATATTTATTTTCACTTTGTTAAAGCTCGGGAGGTCAGAGCCCGCAGAAAGCACAGCGGCACGCAGGCGGGAGAAAAATCAATGCTTGGTTTGCGGCCGCTGGAGCAGCTCCTGTCCGTCACACTGGGCCTGCGCTGCACCCCTGGCATTGGTCACCCACCAACCCTGGGCCCTGGGGTGGGGGATTGCTTAAATGTGATGAGCCCGTATTTAATGAGCCCACGTTTGAACACACGCTTGGGACTGATGGAGGTGGTGTCAGACTCGGTCTTGTGGCCATGCTAGTGTTGTCCCCAGGCGCTTGACTGAGCTCCCCAGACTCCTCACAGCAGTGACAAAATCACAGCTGAATCCTTGAGGCAAAGTGACGCCTGTGCACATTGCCTTGGGCCCGGTGCAGCACCCACGCCATCACGGGTGGGCAGGGGTAGGGCGATCTCGTGCCCCCATCCCAAACCTCGCCCTGATTCCCTGCCGTCACTTACCCCTGGCAGCGTCTTCTGCTCGTGCAGAGCGCTCTGAGCCTTCAGGGCCGAGTCTCGGGCGCAGTAGGTGAGAAAGGCACAGCCTGCAGAGATGGGGAGACAGCATTAGTGGCCGGGAGACACCCGCAGCAACCCAAATCCCACCAGCCAGAGGCTACTGTAGCACTGGGGTGCACCGGCACCTGCCCACCCTAGCACCTGGCACCACATCACCCATCCTGGGGCCACGTGTGCACAATAGAAACTGCTAGACCTCAGCTCAGCCCCAAAACAGAGTGGTAGATATGAATGCAAGAAAGGCAGGATGCAAGGAGGAGAAAAGCCAGAGCGTGCAGCCCCGAGCACAGCACCAGGGAGCCCTGCGGGAAGCCGCAGCCAGCGTTCTCCAGGAAGCGCATTTCCAAGCGTCGACGCCGCGCACCCCAGAGCTTCCTCCTTGCTGCGGATGGCGACGGCACTCCGGCTCCTCCAGCATCACGTCGTGGCACTTCGGGAGCAGGAGCGTGCCTGGGGTGAGGTTTTCCCACGCCAGCTCACACTGCCAAGCACTCAGACCCCACAGCTCGCGTTGGGGGACGGCCGGTCCCTGCCCTGGCCCCGTGCTGCCACGTCGCTCCCCATCCGAGGGCTCCTCGGATTTACTGAGGTCACATCCAAAAGCTTCGGAAAGTGATATTAAAACAGCAGCAAAACAGTTTCCCTTCAACAAAGTAAATATTTAATGAATAAAATTGACATTGATGCATTTTTAATATTGGCACAATTAAATCCGCCAGCTGATTAAGTATTAATAACTCTTAATAAGTACAATCAGCGTGCCTCGGAGGAGAGGGAGCGCAGCAGCGAAGCGGGGGGCGACGAGGATGGGGTCCTTCACCCCCCTTGGGGCAGATCTGCGCTGGTGGGAGCAAGGACAGAGCCCTCGGCTAAATCTGAGGTGGAGAGGGGAGGTTGATGCTGCGGCTTGCTTCAGCCCGAGCGCTGGGTCCTTCCCAGCAGCCTGCGTTTCCAGTGTTTACCATCTGTAATCAAGCTGGCTTCCTCCGCTCCGCTCGCCTTGCCTTTGATTTTCCTCCCTGCGGGCAATGATGGGGACGGTGCCCAGGAGAAGTTCGGAGGGCAGTGACGATGGCAGCAATTGTGCCCGGAGGCTCACCCTGAGCACGGATGGCATTTGAATTAGAGCAGCATCCGCAGTCACATCGTGTTCCCGGGCCATGGTGGCCAAAGCTGATGCTGGATGAAGAGCTGAGGGGCAGCACGATGCAAAGCCCCTGGCTTGGGGCACAAACACGGCTTCAGAGGCATTTTAGAGGCCATGGTGCCAAGAAGAAGGGAGTCTAGTGGTCACCCCACCTCATCGGCACATTGACATCCACCGGTGATGAGTTCCAGCTTCCAAAATATTCCCAACGAGGCAGGCGCTGCCCACGGCCTGGGGACACGCTGACAGCTTGCAGAGGAGCATAGGGCCCTGTCCAGGTGGCAGCCGGAGCTCCATGGTCCCACGCTGGTGCTGCAGATCCAGGCGGTGCTCCCAGCTGCGGGGGGGCTCTGGCCCAGGGTGCTCCTATAGCAGCTCCCAGCCCCCAGTGAGCGTCCCCATCCCGGGGATTCGTTCCTCTGCTTCAGATGGGCGCCTCCAGCTCACGGTGCCCCACCTCAGGGGTAAATAACCCAACACAGGGGTACGCCTCCACCTCACGGCTCCTTCACTTCAGCGGTGCCTTCCCCACAGAGGTGCCTCTGTCTCATACCTAGGGTGGTACGCAGGGGCAGCTCCACCTCAGGGGTAACGTCACCTCACGGTGCCTTCACTTCAGGGCATCTCCACCTCGTAGTGCCCACCTCAGGGCCGTACCCACCTGATATCGCCCACCCCAGGGCTGAACCCACCTGGCAGCGCCCACCTCAGGGGCATCTTCCCCTCACGCTGCCCACTCCGGGGACGCCCCCTCCTCACGGTGCCCAGCCCGGCCCCGGCTCCCCGCCGTACCTTTGTGCATGCCGGTGAAGCGGTCCTTCAGCACGGTGAGCTCGTAGATGCGGCCGAACTCCTCGAAGAGCGGCTTGAGGTCGCTCTCCTCCAGGTTGCGCGGGATCTGCCCCACGAAGAGCTTGATGGCGTCGTGGTCCTTCATGGCGATGGCGCCGGGCGGGTGGCTCAGCCCGTTCACTCGGCCGCTGTTCGCGGTGCTGAACGCCGCCCCCGCCGGGCCCGCCCCCGCCTCCGCCGCCGCCACGCCGCTGCCCGCCGCGGCCATGGCCGCTCCGCCGCCGCCGCCGCCGCGCCCCGCCCCGCCGGCCCGGCCCGGCCCGCCCGCCCCGCTCGGCGCCGCTCGGAACCGTTCGGAACCGCTCGGCGCCGCTCGGCTCGGCCCGGCCGCGCTCGGCCCCGCTCGGCTCCGCCGCCGCCGGCCCGCTGACGTCAGCCGGCCGGCCTCGGCCGGGCGCGAGGCATTAGCATAATGAGGCGGCGGCGGCCAATCCCGCGGGGGGGCCCGGCCCCGCCCCCGCCCCCCCGCCCCCCGGAGGCGGTCCGCGGCCGCCGGCAGCTCGGCGTTAACAGCCGCGGCGCGGAGCGGCCGGCCGTGCTGCGAGCGTCCCCGTGCGCCGCCGAAGCCGTTCGTGCCCCCCGGGCCGGCGTCGCTAATCGCGATTTTGGTCTCATTTTGGACGCGTTCCGGCACAAACAGCCGTGCCGGTATTTTTTTCCCACCCTCCTCCGGTGCCGGCCCCGCTCTCAGCTTCGCCCCGCGGCTGCCCCGTGTTTGTGCCGGGCGGTTTTGGGGGGCCGGGCAGAGGCAGCTGCCGCTCTCCGGCACCGCTCGTGTTTATTTTTAAACCCGTTGGCCCCGAGTGATTCACACGCTGCACGTTCCCGTGTTCTCCCCGGCAAGTTTTACATGACAAATCCCGGGTAAAAATAGATGTTCTCGAAGGAAGCCGCAAGGACGCGGCGGGGAATCGGGGGGACCGGCGGCACCCCGACAGATGGGCGCCCTGGCCCCAAAGGGACCCCGGCCCAAAGGGACCCCACCTGCTGCGCTGCGGGCTCACGGCCTCGGGGCAAAGCTGCCGCACATCGCCTGCAAAGCCTGGTAGGGGAGAAGGAGCCGTCTTACAGCCTCCTCTCGGAGCTCTCTGGGACTTGACAGCACGTCAAGCTATTATTATTTATGACTCTTGTGTTAGGAGTTACTCAAGTTAAGAGAAACGAACGTGACAGGCGATCCTGGCTTGCCTCCAATGTCCCACCTGAACCACTGGGCCCGGGCAGAATTTGTGATTGAAAAAACAGAAAACAAAAACAAACAAACAAACAAACAAAAACAGAAAAAAAGGATGTGAGCTTCCCAGAGTGACTCTGAGGAAGCAGAAGAGCATCTTCACCCAGGAAACAGCACATGGGCTCTCAGGAGCCAGCAAAAATACCCATCTTTCCCCCAGACCTGGCCAGCAGCTAAACATCGTCAGCAAGGGCTCCAGCATGCTTTCTTTTCTCCTAGAACTCAGGGGGTTGCATCACATCAGGCAAGAACTACCCAGGTATTCTTTCACAGGAGAGTGAGAAACACAAGGCTTGACAATTTAGGAATGATTTTAATTCCAAATTAATAATAATAAGTTTCCAGCCATAACAGAGAGTAAACAGCAGATCTCACTCATTTCAGACCAGGATGAATACACAAGAGTCCTGGCTTTCAGGATTTCTCCCAGAGAGATCCTCATGCTCACACTGGTTGGGATTTCCAGCAGGGCAACCCTAACCATCAAAGTACCAGAACCATGACTGTCCCTGCTCCTTAACATGCCCACAGCAGCCTCTTCTCCAGGGAAACGCATCCAAACCAAACCACTTGGCTGCAGGAGAACCAGAAACGAGCTTCTCCAAGCTCACTACAGAGCAGCAGCAGGACAGATAATTTGGCCAAGTCCTCAGCAGAGGCCACAGCCGACTGAAGAACTGAGCTGGGACTCCATGACATCCATGCACCCAGCTCAGCAGGGCTGCGAGGTCTGTGAGAAGCTTCGAGTAGGAGCAGACAGGGTTTGGGGCAGCAGAGACGGTGGCTTGGAGACAGGCCTCCTGCTTAGACACAGCTGAGGTACAGAGAGATGAGACAGAAAGGACAGGAAGCAACAAGTGATGCAGCAGTGTTGGTGTGCAGGAGACCACAGAAGCAAAACCAAGGTGGCAGCGACATCCTGGTGCTTGCAGGCCAGTTACACATAGGATTCTCCCCTGCACACGCTGCTGTACAACTGGACACCACATTCTCTTAGCAGAGATGAAATCTGGGATACTGGCAGAGACTAAGCACAGCTTAACCAGCTGAGCAGGCATCCAGTAAGCTCCAGAGACAGCAGGGTGAGGCATAGCCAGATGCTCCTCCACCAACATCTCTGGAACCAGCCTGCCCCAGAGCGGGACCTATCCATCTCCTGCTAACAAAAAGCCCTGGTGTGGTGTTCCCAAGCCCCAGCTGAGTATGAAAAGGCATCTTTTTCTCTTTGAGGTCATTTATTTATAGATTTAAAGAAACCAAAATAGAAAAAGAGGCAAAGAGTGCACGCTAAGAAAAAAAATGTCCATTGCAACAATGCAAAAGCAGAAGCAGGGGTAGGAAAGGGGTCCCTTTACCATGCCAGCAGCTTTTGAGAGAGCAAGAGATCATTCCTCTGGTGTGCACAGAGACTGAGGGCAGTGGGATTCTCCTTTCAAAACCCGCCAAATTCATGATCACAGTATCCTACGAAGAGAGGCTCTGCCTGGACACCCCGCCTGGAAGTGGAGCAGAGGGACAACATTACACAGGGGACACTGAACAGTGCCTGGTGCTGTTCAGCAGGGGGGTGGCAGGAGCTGACGGATGCCATTTCCTCAGCACAAGACTCTTGCCACTGCAGAGCTACCAGCCCATGCCAACAGCACGGGCCCTCTTCCAGCACAGCACACAGCAAGCTTTGCCCACACGCAGGCACAAGAAATGCCGTGGACCTCCAAGGGTCTTTTCACACAATCGAAAGCTTACCTCATTTTCAATCCCCCTCACTGTTCTACCCATGCAGAGCTGATCCCCTGAGGCTGTCCCCTGCACTGACACCACAAGTAGGCAAGGCCCAGCAAGGAGGGACGGCTACCTGAGAAGCTCGCAGCGGAAGTCAGCCAACCGCACGTAAGCATCTTGCAGGTTCCTCACTGTTGCATTACTCCAAAGTCTCTCAGCCACAGCCCCGGCTCTCGGCCTTGAAGGAACATGGGACAAAGGCACGTAGGTCAGAGAAAGCTTCTCCTGCAGCGCTGAGCTCCCAGACATCTCCCTGACCAAAGTCCTTTGACACATAAAAGCACATGGCTTCTGTACATCAAAAGATACATGCCTAGTCAGGTGCAGAGCAGATGACAGGACAGAGACCGGCATTAAACGCAAGCTGGTAGCAGTGGCAGGTGGCACAGGAGTGTGTTTCATTCTTACAGACAGCCACAGAATCTCATTTAAGCCTCAGAGAAGTTGTTACTACACAAATATGCTACCAGAGGACAGAGCACCTTGAGATCAAACCAGCAGCAGTGGGTGCACATCATGCTGTGCTGAAGGAGTCGAGCTAACCCTCTCTAAACATCTCTTACCAGAGCCTGGGGGTCAAGTTGGTGACGTCCACGTATTCACCCCACATGCACGCCTCCCCGCCAATCACCAGATCCTTCTGCTTAGTGCTGCCTGCCAGGAGACACAGCATTCAGGTGATCAGGTGTTGTAAGACAAATGCATCTTCCTGCCCTGCCCAGGGTGGGGACGGTGACAACCGAGGGCTGGCTGAGCTGTAGAGACTGTCATTTGTCCTTCTGGAAGCCCCTGCCTCAAACTCTAGGCAGGGAAAGAGCTGAGGTGTTTCCTGCCTGCAGCGAGGGAACAGCATAAAGCCCAGGAGCCAGGGGCACACTGATTCGAGCACCTTCACACCATCAGCGAGAACGAATGACCAAAAAGGCCAGCCCTTGCACCACCTCTGAATGAGCAGTCAGCAGCCAAGAGGGGATGTGACATAAGGAACGCACCACTGAACTTTAAGGGCTCCACCTGGTAGGCTGCCATCCAGTCTTGCCCGTAGGAGATGCGGTTGAGGTACCAGGGGGCAGAGAGCAGAGCCCTGTAGCCAGCCTTGGTGACATTTGCCATCTCCTCCGCATACGGCAGATTGTTCTTCCACACGTGGATGATCGTGTCTGGCCTCACCTGGCCCCACAAACACACATAAAGCCTGCGTACAGCATCAGTGCAGCAACAGAACACCACCTCCCCTCACAAGAAGGGTTCCCCCAAGCCATCCCAGCTCCAAACACCACTCTGGTGAGCAGGGTTCTGCACCAGAAAGAAGCCACGACCAGTTATAACAGGGAAAGCTAGAACTACACCTGCACCCCTGTCCTGACTCATCTATTCCCTCCAAGGAAACTGGATTTTGAGCCAGGTCAAGACTCACTTGAGTGAGTTTGGCATGGGTGCTGACACCGTTCACCCAAGTGTTAGGGAACTGTGCTAGGGCACGTGAGCAGCTCTCACCTTCACTCCATTGTCAAACACCTCCTGCCACACCATATAGCCCTTGCCAAGGGAAGAGACGATGTCCAGGAGTCTGGAATGGAAACAATACTGAGTTTAGGGTCCTCCCATCCCTCTTTTCTGGTTCACTGATACAGCTAACATCCCCCTCACAGAACTTTTTTCTCCCTCAACTCCAGGCCTTTTTGCAGTCAGTCTTCTGAAAAAAAAACCACAACTAGGTTCTCTCTTCAGGGACAAAAAGGTAGGACCAAAGGGACAGTAGAAGACATTTGTGTCTGTCACATATTGCAGATGCTGACTCAGGATGCAGCCACCCTTACCTCTGGATGTAGTATGATTCTAATTTTGTGTAGTCTTCACCAAAGCCCATCTTCTTCATGAAGACAAGAATTTCTGGATTGGACTTCCTGTGTACCAGAGAGAAGAGAATAGAAACCCCAAGCACCAACTCACAGAGCCTCTTTCAGAGCCCAGGGGAGCAGAACACCTAAGATTTATAGGTGATCATGGCCAAGAAGCAACTGGCTGGGATGTGGGGATTCTGTGCTAGATTTCCTTCCCTCTTCCTCTCTCCTGCACATGAATAACCCTCTACCTTCCCCCTGCCTCTTCTTGACACTTAGGTGGCTGCTCCTTAAGGTACCCATCCACAAGCACGTGCTAAATGCCCAGGCAGCAGAGCACTGTTTCGG